TATGTTGAAGTTGCTTGGGCCGATCTTGCTTGAACTCTTGGATTGGTCTTCTTCTTCAGGTTCTTCAGAGCTTGAGTCTTCGAGGTCTTCTTCTTCACTCTTGTAGCTTTCATCAGGAATGGGCTCTTCAGGCTGTCCAACAATGTTGGTACCTGCACAAGTAGCATCAAGCTTGGTTCCGGTTAAGTAAGCTTGCTTACCTTGGGTGATATTGAGTTGCGCAAAGGCATTGCTCAAGTCATCACTTGGTGTGTGCTTATAATCTACTTTGGCTAGTTGAGCTATAGGTGGGGTTAGTGATTTGTCCAGGTTGTCTAGGGTAGCTTGAACCGCAAGTATGAACCCATCTTTAAGCCTTCTCTCCTTGGAACGTGTCATTGGTCCTTCTGTGACCTTAGGAATGGTTATGGGCTCATGGTTCTGGTCTATGATCTCATCACGTCAGCTCTTCCTCATACAACTCAACTTCACAGCCATCAATAATAGTCAGAACATGTAAATGCTTATTAAGACAAGTCTAGCCAAAAACATGTCTTTCGTCGCACTTATAACAAAGCCTATTCTTTCTGCGGTGTTCAAATTCAGCTGGGGAAAGTTGACGCAAGGATCCAACAGGTGCCGTTAATGTTTGGCCCACACTTTTCTCAGTAGTGTTGTTATTAACCAAAGAAACTGGCATTGTCTTCCATAAAATGTTACCTCAGGAATTTGTAACAGCACGGGCAGAATTAAAAGAAGTTGATTTCGGTTGTGATTGACGTGAAGGGACCATAGCTTGACACAGTAAACCATCTTCTATTTCCAACACAGCCGCAATCATGTGAGCTTAATCACGAGGTTCTTTTAATCTCAGTCTCTTTTAATTCTGGTTTTAATCCTCCCTTAAAAATAGCTTCCAACATCTCATTATCGACACCAGTAAATTGAGAGCATAGTTCCTCAAATTGTTGAACATATAACAGCATTGGACCAGTCTGAACTAAGGCCTCTAATCGCTCCTTCGGTGATCGCATAAGAGGACTGCGAAACACATAAGTAAATTCTTCTTAAACGACTGCCAAGTCATGACTGGAGTATGCTGTTCTTCCCACAGAAACCAACTCAATACCACACCCTCCAAGCTCATCAAAACCAGCTGCATATTCTGATCCTCTGTATATTGTCCATGTCTGAAAAATCTCTAAACTCTAGCTATCCAACCATGAGGATTCTTCCCATCAAAAACAGGCACCTCAAGCTTTTGAAATTGACTATCACGCATCGGCGTGATATCATCATTCTAAGGTTAGCGATCTTGAATAATCTTCATCATAGATGTCATCGTCGCTTGCATCGAATGAATCGTACAATCCGTAGCCTTTGCTTGTGTTTCTGCCTTCGATTGTCGATCACTGCTTCCGTTAACTTATCAACACTACGTTCCGATGAATCGCGACGGCGTTGTTAAGCTCATTTCACTCTCCATAACTTCTCTTCCCACTCCGATGACATCGCGAAGAGCAATTGATCACACCAATTTGATAAGATTTTAATTGTAACTCTCTCAATGTATTACTCTGCACATGTACGTAGAAGTATACAACCTCTCACGAGCTATTGTATGACTCCTACAATACTTCTCTCTCAATTGATCAATTACATGATGAGTATCTTATACAGCAATACAGAGTATTTATACTACGTATTTGAATGTAACCGCAAAGTCTCCTTTTCGATGACAGTCTTCCCTTCTCAATTATTCGTCTCTCCTTTCTTCCTCCTATAGTAGGCTCTCCATGGCATATCACAAATACTTGTCAAATGAAGTGTTGAGCTAAAGCAATGACTTATGTGGCATTTTAATCGTTCATTGTGAATCTTTGTCGAGATCAAGTTTTCCCTTATCTACTTTATCAAAATACAACAAGACTAGCCTTGTACTAACTCCTTTTCATTTTGAATATGCCACAAACATTAGCACACCATAACCGGGTCCAAAATCTTTAGCTAGCTGCATAGAAACAAAAGATGTAGAACACATCAACTAGATGCCCTTATAGGCACAAAATCTGAATCTGGAGTTACCATTCACTAAAAACTGTTTGTAATATTGAGAACTTGACCACACCACTCAGCTTTCACCCTAATCTCCCATTCTTCCAGGGAAATCTCAAATGCGTCTTCTCTAGGAGATGGGCAACTGACAAAGGCTTAGAGTACAACGGTTAAACGTATTTAGGTTTGCCTCAACAGCACGCCGAGAAAGTGAGAGTAAGAATACGTAAAACAAAACAACGAGACTGAACGTAAAAGAGCTCAAGGAAGCAAATGTCAACATGATCTCTGTACACTTTGGAAAGAACTTGTTTTAAGAAACAGTAGATAGCATATTCAAACAGATCAAAATGTTGTTCATGATCTTGGTTTGACGACTTCGATCGAATTCTCGGCACTACTACTCTCAGACAGAACAGCTGTTCTTATTGATCTTCGTGAATATTCCGAATCGCAGCAGTTATTTTCTTGCAATCAAACTCCATCGTCTTCATCCAATTCTCAAAATCTCCAATCTCCTATCAAAACCAACACAATATCCACCATGAACACACAAATACACAATCAAAAGAAGACAGAAACGAGAGATGAGAAACCTTGACGGCGCTATTAACGGCGTGAGTTGCTGCAAGCCACTGATCCGTCTGTTTGCCGAATCGAGCCACCGTAACCGCCAGAGATCTTATCTCCGCCTCAATCCGTTTCTCGTTGACGAAACACTCCTCCACTCCTCCGTTCACCGCCTTCACCAGCAGATCCGCCGTCCTCGCCGCGTGTCTGATCGCCTCCTTCCTCGATCTCTCTGTCTTTTCACGGAGCTGTAACGACGATCGACGGTTGTCTTCGATCAGCTGCAGGAGACTCGATTCCAGTGTTCCGGTCTCCTCTTCTGTTCTCTCCTTCTCTGAAAAGGGTAGCACGCGCCCACGCGTCGTCAACATCGACATTGGCGTGTTGTTAATTCTTCTTCCACCGGTGAATTGATTCGGTGATAATTTCTTGTTATCGGGAATACTCAATGTTGTTGCACTACGCGGCGTTTATCTCTCATGGAAACGTCACGCATTCTCGCGTTCCAGATAACACTTTTCTTTTTAAGAATGGCCTGTGTAAACCAACACTGCGCGTGTCTAGAACCATTTGAGCCAGTGACTAAATTCATTTTGAAATAAATAATAGTATTCTCATTTTTTATTCCCCACAAAAATGTAAATCTATTTGAAAGCTTCACAAAAATTACGTAAACAAAGAAACTGTTGTTTTGTGCATCCAAATGTTAAAACTTTACATCTATAAATGTTATTTTACAACCCTATGAAATTAGGAGACCTTGTCAAATCTATAATAAACTCAGAAACTCTTGGCCTCTTCATAGACCATCCATCTCTGCAGCTCGGTGAGGGGGTCATCAGATCTATCACTTCAACTTCAGTGGTTGATCTGATAAGGCTGCTTCTTCTCCAACAATCTTTCTCCATAATACTATGTGATATTTCATCATCAACAACAATCTCTTCAAAGCCAAAACCACTGAAAGTTGCTAATCTGTCAGCCTCAGGTTCTTTCTCCACGGATTCAATAGATCCTACAGTGCTACGTGATACTTCATCATCATCATCATCATCACTCTCATCTAATAACCCAAAACCAGTGAAATTTGCTAATCTGTCATCAAGTACAGTTATGTGATCTTTCACTTTTTCACCGGGATACAAGTCATCCAGTGAGCTTGTAGTTGGATTCCTAGACTGGATTTGGTTGCTACCATCATCATCCTCTTCTTCATTACTATCGAGACTCTCTTCATCTTCGGGTTGAGAATTGTTGTCTCCTTTACTGAAACATGGTAGATCATCCATAGCACAAACATGGACTTTCATGTGAGGAAGCAAACTTGGAGAAAGACCGCTGTGGTGTGCATACTTTGATGAGAAATAGTTGACTGTCAGGTTCAGGCTGGTCACCAAGACACATAAGTTATGTCGTAAGTAAAACGGATATTGCAGCATAATCAAAATGAAGCTTGTTGGTCTTTACCTATTCCAAGGTGGAAGAGATAGCATTGTGTATGCAAGCTTGATATTGTTGGAAAGTCCAGAGAAGGATTTAAAAGCAGCAGCAGCTTCCCTCACTGCAAGCGACTCTCTCGGATGCTGCCAAGCCCATTCAAACTGCAACACGAGTTTCTCAAACACATCAGTTTAACACAAAAAAAGAAAGCACATTTTGCTCTAGCTAGGAATTGGTAAATATTATATGGAAGATAAGAGATCTTATTAAGATATTTAGGGGAATAGAAAAGAGACCTGAAGGGCAGAGATGTTGGTGGGGAAACCATAGATACAGAGGACCATTTCCCATGGACGTTTCTTCTTTGTTCTAGATGCACCACTCCTAATCTCTCCGTTGTGCTGCCTTATTCTCCGCTTTGGGTTAACCGTGAACCTGCAAAACCATATTATGTACTGAATCAGCTTCAAAATTGTTTCTTTTACAGCACCAACAAATCATGGCCATCAAAAAAAGCAGTGATTTTGAAATCTAATTCTATCAAAGAAAGAAAAAAAATAAACGGATACAATTCCAATGAATCGATCAGAGGGAGTAGACAATATGATCAGACAAGCAAATAAAGAACATGAGTTTATTCCAGATCGGTAACTTCAAAACAGAACATGATCCTCTGTTTCGAGGATTTGGAAAGGTCAGAGAAAGAGAAAGTAGGAGTTACCCGATATAGGTGTGACCCTTGTGACGAGGGCTAAGGGAGGTCAATATGTAGCAGGCGAAGAACCCTTTTCCTTCTTTTCCAGTGACTACACGCGACTCATCATCCTCTCCCACGGGATCTAGGGTCTTCGGATTTGGATCTCTTCTGCGCCTTTTCTCTCTCATCGCTCTCTCTCCTCTGAGCGTCAATTCGACCGTTGACGATGCAGTTCTAAAATGCATTATCCGGAAGGACAGTAAGGGGCCAATTGGTAGGCCACTTCAGTTAAGGCCCATTTGCACGGTACAAGATACATTCGATTGCATTCGTTTTGGTTTTTCATGTAATGCTCTAGATGTCATGTAAGATGGTTTTAAAACTCTTCTAAAATTTTGATTTAATGTAATATAATTCCTCTAATGTCATTATCTTTTGTGCCTACTCACATAGCTTTACAGTTTACAGTTTATGATAACTAGGGCTTTCCCGGACTACTCCCGAATTGTTTGTTTTAAACTTTGTTATTATTTTTACTTTTTTAATATTATATATATATATATATCTATATTGAATTGATTATAAAATAAGTTAGTATACAAATTAAACACTATTTATTAACTGTTTTCTTCCTAATAAATATGATCTGTTAGAAATCATAGTTTGTTGTTTTATTATATAATGAGATGATGGTATGAATTAGAAATTCCTTACACGTTAATTTTGATCGATATTTTTTTTATTCTTGATTATATAGGTTTCTATGTAAAATAATTTTATATTATTATTATTATGATTTAAATCTTGTTATGTAGAATAATTATTTTTATTTTTATTTTGACTCTGTTCCAAAAGAAAGTATAAAACTGATGTATAAACAAATTTTCTACTTGGTTTATTTCAAAATTAAACTTATCAGTCTAACTAAATTATATAATAGACAATCTTGGTTTGATATATATATTAATTTTTATTTGTCTAGCCAAAAGAACCTTAATAATTTTCATTAGTTTGGCCAAAAAAAACATTTTTTTCTAGATAGATTGTTAAGTAGAAAAAGGGTTAACACAGTTTTAGTTAAACTGAAACTTAAAATGTGATGTTCATACCAAACGACCCATTTTATGATAGAGAATAAGTTTAATCAAAATCAACGAAAACTGACTACTATTCCTTCAAACCAATTTATAAGAAACTATTAATACAAATAAAAAAAATTAGATGAAAACCAAACTTAAGACGAACTCTTAAGCAAACCACTTTGCCACTCGACAAGGCAGATAGCTCCTCTACCACTCTGAAAGCGGATAAAAAAGACGACTTCATTTTGGAGAGTTGTCTATCTTCTTTCATTTATTCTTCTTCGTCACTAACCAAAGCTTCTTTGCGGGAAAGAAAATTGATCAGTGCTCTAATACTGTTTTCCTGGTGAACACTGAAAAAACACATAGGGTATAAATTCAACAATAGATAAGGTCAGTAAGGCTTTGCCTAAAGAAACAAAAACAGCAAATACATGGTAAGAGAAAAATATCATACCCAATACCATTGTGTAGATTGATTATGTAGGTTTCTATGTAAAATTTTTAGCTAGATTGTCAAGTAGAAAGACCATAAACTCAATGGAAATATATGGTAAGAGGAATATATGAATACTGGAAATATATATTTCGTACCATATGTATATTGTTGGACCATGATTTATACCAAATCACTCCCACTATAATTATATGTTATTTTAGAAATTATTGTTGGGCCATAATTCATCAAAGTCTCATGTCGCTATTAAATGTTAAAGATGAAGGCCAAAGTTAGGTACTGATCTCTCCATATATCTCGGGCCCGCGTGCATATAAAAAGAGGTCAAAGACTGAAATTTAGGAAGCACGTGCAACCAACTTACAGACTTGGCAAAGATTAATTGCTTCTATAAAAAGACAAAGTCATTACTCTTGAAGGAGAGAGGATCTAATGAAACGAGAACACTAAACTTAAGACAAAAAGAGAGACACTTCCATTCTTCCCCATTCTCATAAAAGAGAAGCTTGTACTCTCAAGCTCGAGACCACGAGTTACTCCAGTGACATTCCACTAATCTAATATGTTCACGTATTCCGAGGTGCTGAGAGCAATTCTTCCTTCTCTACCGTTGTCAACATCGACCAAGAGATATATCATCTCTACGATCAGTACATTATGTTATACATACTTCTATGTTTGATTCAAAGCAAAGATGGTTCACACGAAACCTGGTCTTGAGAGACTGTGATCAGCCAATCCGACATCCCTAGCTCATTATTCTCACAAATAAACAACGTCTCTAACGAGATCGATGGAAACATCTTGCTCGAGATCGACGAACCCAACGTCCTGCTCAAGACCAATGAAACCGACATCTCTTTCGAGATGATGATAACCGAACTACGTTTAGACTTGATCCCACGACGGGTACGTAGGAAGCTTGATCCAGAGTTCAATCACGATCTTTCTTCAACCATAATATCTATGTTATTCGATGGTATACGAATAGATTCCATTTTTGTCAACTCATACCTGACTACACCGTTGTGTTCTAAGGATATCGTTGCCACATTATTTTCATTCCCCATTTTACATCACAGCACTATCAAATACTTAGTGCTGATTTTAGGATCTACATGGATGTTACTATACTTTTTTCATACCACATATGTTTGTCTTGTTTGTAAAGAAATCAAACATTTGAATTTGAAATGACTTTGTCAAGAGTATAGTTCACAGTATTATATCTCTTATTGCCGGTTAAACGTAATAATAAATTTAAAATTTATAATGTGTGTGCATGTATCGTATATTCTTTTGAACAAAATATTAATATGTATTGGAAATACCATACACATAAAAAAAACCTTATGAATTTCTTGTTTTTTTCTTTCTTTCTGTCAACGATCTTATGAATTTTATTGTCTTTCAAAATTTATGTGTGTTTGGTATATAAAGAAATTGTGTATTTCACCTTTAATCATTTGAACCTCTTTCAAATGAAGTTATTAATGATTAATTAGTTTCATAAAAATTAGAATAAATTAGGCAAGATAAAATAGACTTTTTATTTATATTAAATTTTCTGAATATTTAAGCTTAAAACATATAAGTAGTAAAACCGAAATATTTCACAGAAATTCTTATTTTTTAATTATGTAACTTTTTACTCATTTCATATCTGCATATTTGCCTTTAAAATTTGATTATATAAATAAATAATGTTTACATATCTATTCCAAGCTGACAATATATCTGGATTACGATGCTCTATAAGAGGTTTCTGGAAAGTCTTGATCGCAGGTTCAAAATCCTTCGAACATTTGGCCATTTTGACCAGCACAGATCCTTTCCTAGTCAAAGCTTTTGATATCACCTTGAAGTCAACCCAAAGCTCTCTGCCTCTCTCAACAGCCTGCTCACAATCTTGAATGCACTCCTCATACTGACATTTGATTTGAAGATAAAGCGTTTCAAAACTAAATTAAACACGTCCGTAATCCAGATGAAATTATTGTATGATCAAAACTTCACTAAAATAGAAACACATAAGTGCCAAAGCTACATTAACAGAGAAAACTACTTTTTCAGAACTTCTTAATCATCTCAGAGTCACAACAATACACAGTTAACATCTATTTCATGAACCTTAGATTCCATTTTTCCTCTAAAGTTAGGAGCTTTAAACCAAGTATAAGACTTAACCATAAGCCAATTGCTCAGCAAAAAACATAGAACAAAGAGTAACACTACAACAATACCAAAAAAAAAAAAAACATAACTGAACTCTTAAAAAATTTAAAGCAAATACCTTTCCCATCTCAAGATAAACAGCAACACGATTCGTGAGATACGATATGTCTTCATCATCATCGCCTTACTATAATGTTCAATAGCCTTCTCAAACTCCTTCTTCTTGAAAGCAGCGTTTCCATGCGCTTTCTCCTTCTTCTCCTCCTCCTTCCTCTCTTTCCTCTCCCTCTCCTCCTCCGTCAACTCCATAGGTCCGGCTCCGGTTCCAGGTCCGGCTCCGGTTCCGGTTAAACCTTCTTCACTGGCTCTGGAGTCGAATCAGCCTCCTGCATCTCCATATCTTCTTCTCCCTTGGCTCCACTAAACTAAACATTCAACAAAACACCCAACACCTGCATCACTCTCTTATCCTTCATATACACATTAAGATGATTAGGGTTCTTCTGAATCTTCTTCATCGTCTTAACAAAATCAGGCTGCTGTAAATAAATCATATTCTGATTTTGTTGAGCAAGCAAAACCCAAAAAGAACAAACAAAGATCTCGGAATAAACATGTTCGTCGATGAGGAGCATTTCTAGACCAATAAATGTCTTCGTGAGTGGGTTCCGAGCCTCCCGAACATGGATCAGACAAAACCTTAACTCGCCTTCTTGTGGTCCGAATTCCACATCTCTGAAGAACAACACTTCATCAGCTTTGGCGGAGGAGACAACGGCCTTGCCATGTGGTTTCTTGGACATAGAATCACCGAAGACAGCGTTGGCAGAGGAGACACCGATTTTGCCTCTATGTTTTTGGTACGGCAAAGAAGGGATTTGTGAGAGAGACGGCGTACTAAGAGCATGATTATTGAAGGTCTCTTAACTGGGTCCCTTAGCGTACAATCCTTTAGCTTTTAACTGAAAACGCTAAGGGACGTCCCTTATATAAGGGATTTAAGGGACGTCCCTTAGCGTTTTCAGTTAAAAGCTAAGGGACCGTACGCTAAGGGACCAAATTTAAGGGACCTGCAATAAACATGGTCTAAGGTTTTTATTTTTCTCTATTTTTGGGTTTAATAAGCCACATTCTGTAAAAAAAACAAATTAAAAACAATGAAACCCAAAATCCAACCCATTTCCATGCTGACTTGGCAAAATCAGACCTTTTCACTGATTGATTATTTTATTCGACGTGGACACTTTATCTGAGGCTTATAGTCTTCTTTTAATATTTGTTTGGTTATGGCTTTCAATCTAATTGTTTGATAGATAAAGAGATTAATCTCAGCAAACACATTCTCCCTTCATTAATTTACTTCCCTAACTTAACACCAAACAACCTACGTTTCCACATCCCCCCCCCCCTTTTCATCTGAAACCAAAAGGTTGGCAGGAGCTGTACTTTCAGCTTGGGACATGATCAACTGATATTAAATCAAATAAATATTGTTATTGTAAGAAAGAACCTGCCAAAACAATGATGAAATGAATGCATGAGAAAAGACTGATGCTTATGATGATATGCTATAATAATGGCAACGATTCCTTAACCTGCACTCTTTTTGAGTTGTAAAATATGTGATCAAATGGGCAATAATAGCTTCTTATCTCAACAGTAATAAGAAAGGCTGCATTGTCTTAATTTTCAAGCTTTGTTAGGATCTGTACAACCACCCTTTTATTTGTTTCATCGCGGGTGTGGAACTCCGTTAAACCATTTCATATGCTCCAGAATAGAAAATATAATATTGAATTAAAGAAAACCAAATAGGATTAATCGAGTTACAAAATTGATAACCAAGCAAGGATGGGTTAGTGGTCTCGAGAGATCTTCTGACTCAATACAGATTCAGTTTCAAATCCTCCTGGCCACTCAGATTGTCTCAAATGGGAAAAATACACGGTTATTGCGGACCTCGTGGAATTAGTCGGTTGATCTCGGTCACTAGAGTCCCACAATTATAAGAAAAAAAAGATTTACAAAATCGCCAAGTGCAAGCAAAGTCGAATAAACTAGCTAGTTACGGTTTAAGTAGCTGAGTAAACCATTTTCCATATAGTATACAAAAGAGTAAAGTATCTACAAATGCAATTAGACTTGTAATACATTTTTCTTATCAACAAGCAAAAAAATAGACACCTACAATTTGGTACGGTATATGAGTAGATAAGTAATAATGTTTTTTTTTTTCTTTTTTTGGGGTGATAATACTAAAAATGTAGCAAACGCAAATCAATCCAGCCGATCCAACCACAGCGATTTGGCGTTTGATTTGAAAACACACAATTTTAAATAATTGCGCTTGGCGTTTCATCCCAAACGCTAATTAGCTTAAACCTGAGTTTGTTATTCCACATCTCCTTATAGCAATCAGCATCGCCACCTCTCCTCCTTGCCTCCACCACCACAAGCAAATCGTTCAGCCGCGAAATATAAATCCCAATCATAAATTTCCCGTTTTGCCCTTCCATCTCAAACCCATATTCCTTCTTCTTCGTCACCCTCAGCTTCTCCTCCTCCGCGAACTCCTCCACCTCCTCCGCCAATTTCTCCGGCGACTTCTCAGAGAGAAACCTCTCCCATTCGCTGCAACCGGCGAACAAACCGGAGAGATCTAATCCCGACGAGAAAGAAATCAAATCAAACGCGTTTAAACCCTTCACCACCTCCACCTCTCCTCCTTTAAGATCGATCTCGTCGTGGAACTTAATCTGTTTAAAACCTCCTTTAACGAACCAAGAATCCTTCACAATCTCATCAATAGTGATCCTCGTGTCGGGATTGATATCAAGAAGACGAGATATGAACCTTTTTAAATCTTGAGACATCCATTTAGGGCAACGATACTCTCCTTTATAAATCTTCTTGTACATGTTCATCATGTTCGGATCATTAAACGGTAAATAACCAGCTGCTAGGACGAACAATACAATACCACAAGACCACACGTCCACCTTCGCGCCTTCGTATCCCTTCTTGGAGAGAATCTCTGGCGCCACGTAAGCAGGCGTGCCGCACAAGGTGTGTAACAAACCGTCGGGTCGGATCTGATCCGTCAACGCGCTGAGGCCGAAGTCGGTCACCTTGAGGTTCCCGTTCTCGTCGATCAAGAGATTCTCCGGTTTGAGATCGCGGTGGTATACGCCGCGCGCGTGGCAGTAACCGACGGCGGAGATCAGTTGCTGGAAGTATTTGCGGCTGAGATCTTCGCTGAGACGGCCGTGTTTGGAGATTTTGTTGAAGAGCTCTCCTCCTTTGACGAACTCCATGGCGAAGAAGATCTTTGTTTTGGTGGCCATGACCTCGTGGAGTTTGACGATGTTGGGGTGAGATAAGCGTCGCATGATGGAGATCTCGCGTTTGATGTTGTTGGCTAGGGATGGGTTTGCGAGGAGTTTCTTCTTGTTGAGGATCTTGATGGCCACGCTTTGGTTGGTGCGGCGATCACGAGCGTGGAAGACTTTGGCGAACGCGCCGCAGCCGAGAAGCTTCCCGAGCTCGTATTTCCCGAACAAGACATTGTTGTTGCTGTTGTTGTTAGTGCTGTTGTCGCCGTTGTCGGATACAATCTCGATCTCCGGCATAGGTTGACAAGCTAAAGAAAGATTGAGAGATGAGTTTGATGGGCACGTAATTCAGATGGGAATAAGCTTCGTGAACACGTATTATGCTAACTTTTGTTGTTTGTTTGCTTTGTATGGAGTTGAGAATAAGATTCTTAAAAGGGAGTGTGGTATTTAAGAGGAGTATACGGATGAAACGCGGGATTATTCGTTATTTGTCTTTAAAGGATTAATTAAGAAAAAGAAAGATAAGTTCAATAGAATAAAGGGTAAAAGCAGATATAGATGATGCCAAAAACAGGAGTTCTCTTTAATTAAAGCTAAAAATCACGTTTGTCCAAAAAAAAAAGGGGGTTAAAAATCACGTCTTAATAAGACAAGTAAAATAGAAACGGTCAGATGCTCCTCCCACATTGGTAAAATCTGAGATCATATAAATGTAGCACTTATTCGATGCATAAGACTAAATAGTTTAAAATTAGTCGATACAGAATAAAGTTCTAAAATTCGACCAATTACACAAATTATTACGTGGTCTTTCTTATCACTCAATTATTATGTTGTCGATGGTTTCTACTTCTTTTCAATTGCATACGCGTGATTTTTTCACCTAACAGGCTAATAACACCTCATAACTTCTGTCTTCTGGAACGATTTAGAAGCTTGTATATATGGTTGAAAACTAATATATCAATAAATGAGTCTTTTGTATATACCGATATACGCGCCTGCCTCAGCTCATGGGACAATGTTTTTGGTAGTGAAGATAGCGACTTTGGTTAGTAAATTAATTTCCCTGGATGCGCAATTTATTTTGATTTCTCTGATGTACTTTGAAAAAATCAAACAAAAACATGTTGCATGGGATGGTGTCAGGTGTCTACTACAGTAGGAGATGATGTGACGTGGCAATATCTCAACGGTGGAACAAGTTGACACCCACCTGGACGGTTCAGGATATGTGGGCCGGTGGCTGATTCCACCTATTTCGTTGATTTTTAAAAAATTCAGTGATGAGATACGCCGGTATTATTTAATCTCACTTGAGACTAATTATTTCTCCATTATTTAAGCAATTAAACACTAATTATTTTATGATTGTCGTCTAACATGTACATAGTATTATTGTTTTCGTCGGTAATCTGATTATTTTTCAATAAGCTTAACTTTTAAATTCACTTTAGTTTTTAGACTATAATTAACGACAATCTCTTAAATAAAAGATATAAGGGCAATATTATTGCAATGTCTCTTGTGATTGTTTCTTAATAAACATATATGTATGTTAAGAAACAATCATAAGAGACATTGCAATAATGTTATTCTAAAAACCATTTTTAACCATAAAATGTGTCAAATCATGAATTAAGAATTCTGATTAAAAAATTGGGATTAATCATGATCTTAGGATCAATCAAATTACCATATAGATTATTAGTTAAAAATAATATTTGGATCTTAATACTAGAGGGTGAATTTCAATTTTGTTTTTTTTTTCAATAGTGTAAGATACAACATGAGATGTATTCTTTTCTATCATGCTTAAAGATTTACGTAAAAAGCCTCTTACATCACAATAGAGAAAAATAATCAGTCAGTTTTAAAATTACGAATTGCTGAAAATATTTTTGCTTAATATAAAATGTACCCGTATAAAACATATTTAGTATTTGGATACCTAACTTGCATATACTGTATTTTTTTGGATATTATCACTTTATATGAGCACCTTGAGTGATGATTTGACATTATTACAAAATGGAATGACTCGTGGAAATAGATGTCCATACAAGTTTTACTTGGATGCATGATATCGGTTACAAATGTGCAAAGGGATATAAGAGCATCCCCATTGAAGGTTTATGAGGGGGTGCTCTTATATTTCCCAAAAAAAAATAATATAATACAGTCAAAACCATGAACCTGCATTGTTGAAATTCACGGTGATGAACTTGTATCATCACTGTTTCGCGGGCCCCACAATATGTGGCGGCTCGCGATTGGTCAATTTTTTATTACTTTTAAAAATAAAAAAGTTAAAACGAAAAAAATTTTAAAAAAAAAGAAAGTAAAAATTATGAATCGTCATCCACAGGTTCACTGATGTGGGTGCTTTAAGTTTATTGGGCTTTTTGCTTGTGAAGAAGACAATAATTCATAGCAAGTCATGCTCATGAATTATGTTTACCATAAGTTATATCAAACATGTATGTTACTAAATAATGTATATTTGTGAGAGGTATGCTACCAAAATATCGTAGATACGAACCTATAGACGAGCATCGTCTCATCAATCAACCATCCAAGCTTTACGTAGGGCCTAGGGGTTTGTCCTAGAAGCATGTTTAAATATAATAAATATTTGAGTAGACATTACACATGACCATGAACCTGCATATAAATCATATATATAACGTATATATGTGAGTATCTATATCGTTTATAAACGATCATGGCATGTACAACTTGTTGCCGCACTTGCATCTCCAAGCTTCAGGGTAGTATTCAGCGGTGACACGAGTACCTGGAGGCACCGGGACGTGCACAGGCTTGCACGGCGTGCATCTTCCACATTTGGAGAAGCACCGTGGTGGAGATGACCCCAATCCCCTTAAAATCCTCCGTAGCTCCGTCTCTTTGCTCAATTCACCGATCCTCGTCATCTTCTTTAACACAAGTGAACTCTTGCCTTGCTCTTCCTGAATCATACAGATGACTAATTAAGAATATAGGCTGTATTGAATTTGTTTCTCCTGTCAAACTATTACGACGAAATATATTTTAAAACTAAAGTCCAACTTCAGTTGCTGTCATTTACAAGACAGCGAGTGAACTGTGTTACTCAAGTACGCTTTTTAGCAAAAGTGTGTACACGATTGAGCTAAATGCGCACTTTAGACAAGAACCGGGACTACCGCTCCGGAATAAACGCTGCGCACATTACCAAAAAGAGTAGAGAGACTGCAAAAGTTCCAAGAGGCTTGTCATACGTTAACGTGCGCCGTGGAGGCGAGTGAAATGATAATATTATTACCAATTGACCAGTCGCCCGAGATCGAAACACAGACAATACCAAGGCAGGACCCACAGGTGGTGAACGGACAAAAGTCGATTACTGTCCTTGTCCTCGTGTGCTAAAGCGAATCGGACGGCTGAGATCCTTTTCAGGAGTACATATCATCTCTGCTGCTCAGTCCGTCTCAACATGCCATCACAGTCTCTGACTGTTCATGCGTATTTTAGCCACAGCCCCTTTTGTTTGTGAAATTCTTATAGAGACCCCCACATTACAAGCTTATTTACAATTTAAAGATGAATCAACATCAATCTTATCCTTCAAAGATACTTGAACCAGGAGAAAAGATACTACTAAAGGGACTTCACAAAATCTATGTAACACTATTTTTGACCATTTTTAGTTAACTATTAACTCATCATTAAAATTATTTTTTATTATTGGATGACGCAAGAAAGTAAATGGATAAAAAAGCTTACGAACCTGTGCATATAAGTGCCCTAGTTTCCCAGAATTAGAGTTCCTAATATCTGCATTTGTAGAACAATATAACATTATATAAATTGTATGGTAATGATTTAATGTTACGTACGAACCAAAAATTAGAAGATACAGTATTTAAGTCGGAGTAGAAAAGATCAATAATTAATGTTTACGGAAAAAAGAAAGATGGCTTACATGGAGTAGAAAGGGAAGAGAGAGGTATGAAAGTGGTCAACACACAAAGGACAACGCAGAGTAGAAATATATAAAAGAGACTCAATTTGGCTCTCGATCTTTCTGATGATGATGCTGATGGTCTCTGGAATCCCATGATTACTAAACTTTCTGAACACCCAACCTAAGAAGAAACAGAGATCAGCTGCAACTCTTCGTAGGCTCATGCAAAAAACTTGGTGGGTTTATAAAAATCAGAGATGAAAGTGGACATACAAAAAATTATACAAAAGGATATATTAGTGTGTTTTGGTTTCCTGTGATTTGGGTTCTCTTAAAAAGGAGACGGAATAGCGATGAGAGTGTTTGAGAAAGGGTAACTAAAAACAAAATGAGTTTATTATGAGCGAACAAGGAGAGCTTTACGCAAAATGTGCAATTAAATATGGGAGTGTGGAGAATGGAGGAGAGAAAGAGTGTAGGAAGAGAAAAGTAATTAAGGAAGGTACCTAAGCATTGCTAAGTTTGGGAGTTAGATTCCCCTGCACCCTGTTCTCTCTGCCATTGTACCCTTCCTTTCTCCAGAATTTGCTTTTAGCAATCTTCCAAGCTATTTGTTTATATATATATTTTTTTTCTTGTTTCTATAGTTCTTTATAATATGGCATATGTTTATAGACATTTGTGGTGTGTGTCACATCGCATGTTATATAATAAGGTATGACTTCCGGTCTTCACGTGATTATAGTAATATACTATATAATCTTCAATTTATTGATACGATGGGTCAATAGATGATTAAACAAAATCTCTTTTAGGGTTTAGATACTTGGTTATATATAAGGTTTTAATTAGTAACTTGATTGTTTATTAGTAACATTTGATTTTAAGTTCATAATTAAGGCACATATATGAGAGATGACTGATTTGAAGATGAGTAGGAAAAAGGCAGGGCCGTAGGATGAAAGATGAGAAAGATTCCAAAGGCAAGGAGGTGTGGACAAACATCCCAACAAATGTGTAAGAAAGGTTCCATGTTCATTCCTCATTTACACATATATATACCTATAGTTTTTATCAATAGTTATTTACTCATATAAATTCACGCAAAGGTTATATATATACTAAGGATTCTTAATAGTAGGAGCGGTAAACAATATTCAGTTGAAATGTACATTTGCAGTTGGAACGGAAACTTGTATTATAGAACTATAACATTGAAGATTTACTATAATATGGTTTTATGATAACGTTGTTGCCATCACTACCAAATTTAAAGTTCGTTGATTGTATGTTAAATAGATGTCTTACAATGGAACGAGGGATACCAGCTATTTTTCCGTAGTTACATAAATATTTCTGTTGATAAAAATAATTAATTAAAATTGATGAATCATATGAATTGTAGCATTGAACATGAGTGAAACAATCTATCAATGAGTAACTTTTTCATGGTAGATACGTTTGACAGTACTTGCAATCAAGTAGTGTTACAACAACCATATAATCATCGCAATACCAAAAAAACCCAACTATTAATGGAGAACTTGGAATAGTATGATCTCTACGATGTATTTCCTGCTAATGAGAATAAAGGTTTGTTAAATGCAACAAGTATGATACGATCTCTCGGACACTCCTACTTTCCTACCATGTATTGCCACTCTAAATTTGTACTCTTTGTAGTTCATGAGGTTTTGTAATTCTTTTTTTTTTTTTTTTTTGGCATCAGAGTTGTTGTATTAAAACTAAACCAAGAGGCTAGCTACATGAGCAAACCATACAGGAGGTTCGACGCAAATATAGTCGAAGAGTTTATCTCGAGCGTGAGCTGCTTTCGCAAAAATTCACTCGTTTGTATTTAATACGAGATAAAAAATCTATAGAGAATTGATCAAAGAGCAGAGTATTGACTCTAATTTCTTGTAATTCTTATGCCATGGATGTCCATTCTTTAGAGCTTTGTAACAGTTTTAGAAGCTGCTCACAGTCAGATTCGAAGTGTATCACTCGCTGATGTTGTTGAGACATCACCTTCATCTCCCAGATAAGGCTCTCCGCTTCAGCATGTAACAATAAGATCGCTCTGTTGCAGCCTTTAAGACCCATAAAGACTTTGTTATCTCCGTCCAATATCATGTATTAACTTAGATGGACTTACAATCTAAAACCAATTGGTGATAAGTGAAGTGGTATATCTATCTTATATATTGCTTAAGATTTCTTCCAACCACCAATGTAGGACATTTGTCCCTAATATGCCTCTTCGAGATGATAGTTCTTGTTGAAATATGCCTTGAATCCGCGATCTGACCTGACACAGATCGGTCGATCCAGAAGTCATGAATCAGTCGATTTGTGTCAAACCCGAGAAATATGGAAAGTTTCATTAAACGCTTTGTTATATATCTTTAGGGTTTTACCCTATTCTGTAACACGAATTGTACTCTGAAAAATTTGTCTCCATCAATAAAGTACTATTTTGCCCGTGGATTAAAACCACGTTAAATCTCTATGTCGTTCTTCATTGTTTATTCAATCTGTTAATCTGTATCTTCTCACATCCGTCACAACAAACTGGTATCAGAGCTTTGGGTTGAATCTGGTAAGAAGATGTCTAGGATAAACATAAAGATCAACAAATTTATTGGAAGGAACAATTTCAGTCTCTGGCAAATCAAGATGAAGGCGTTGATGAAGCAACAAGGTCCTTGGGCACCATTGTCAGGAAAGAAGATTGAACCTATTACTACTGAGATGGAGGTTAGTGAAGAGAAGGCGTATTCAACGATTTTGTTGTATCTGGCAGATGAGATCATCATCGAGGTTTCTGGTGTTGATGCTACACCTTATTTGTGGTTGAAGTTAGAGAGTCTATACTTGACGAAGTCTCTAACTAAGAAGCTACTTCTAAAACATCGTTTTTTCTCTCTGGGGATGCAGGAAGGTACACAACTTCAGGATCACCTTGATAGTCTAAATTGCATTATGTTGGATATGAGGAATATTGATGTTAAGGTGGAGGATGAGGATGCAACACTGATTTTGTTGGTATCACTGCCTAACTCATATGAGAACTTTGTTAAGTCATTCATAGGGAGTAAGAATACAGTCAGTTTGGAGGAAGTCAGGTCGGCACTTCATAGCAGGGAGTTGCGTCACAAAGCATCAGGTTCTGGTACAGATGACCAAGCTTCTGGTACAGATGACCAAGCTTCTGTGTTGTTTGTAGGTGGTGGAAAGAACTTTGGGGAAGACAAAAGGTCGTTTACAAAGGGTCTTAAGGCAACTGATATTTGAAATTATTGCAATGAAAGAGGACATTGGAAGTTTGATTGTCCTAAGAAGAATAAAAACAAGCTGATTCCGCTGCTGTAGCAAAGAATGAAGCTAAGTCTAATGACGATATTACTCTAGTTGCTCATGGAAAAACACATTCTAGAGATGTGTGGGTTCTATACACATGAGTGTCTTATCATAAGTGTCCAAGGAGGGAATGGTTCTCAGAGTATGAGGAAGTGACTGATAGCAAGATCAAGATGGCGAATGACTTCGATTGCGATGTTGCAAGAATTGGTTCGATAAAGCTCAGGGCACATGGTTGTAGAGTATGCACATTGACCGGAGTTAGACATATTCCAGCTATGTCCAGGAACTTGATCTCAGTTAGTCTTTTGGATAGCAGAGGTTTCAAGTATTCAAATGTAGATGGAGGTCTGAGTGTCTACATGGGTTTAGATGTGATTCTGAGAGGTTTCATTCATGGTACTATGTATTTGTTGGAAGGTTCTACAGTTTCAGCAAATGGTCTAAAATTTAGTTCATCAGAGGTCAATCAGTTTTGTAAGGATGTAACAGCTACTAAGCATCTTACAGTCAAAGATACACCACAGAAAAATGGTGTAGCAGATATAATGAACCAAACTCTGCTGGAGGAAACAAGGTGCATGTTTCCTAGTGCATATTTGGAGAAGAGGTATGGGGCTGAAGCAGGGAATGGGGATTTTGACAAGGAGAGGAAGAAATGGTCTACGAATGAGGATGTTATTCTCATAAGTGCTTGGCTCAACACCCGCAAAGATCCAATAGTAGGGAATGAGAAGAAGTGTGGAACCTTTTGGAAAAGGATCCAGAATTACTACAACTCAAGTGTTCAGCATGCTGGGTTGGTCCATAGGGAGCTAGGTCAGTGCAAGCAAAGGTGAGGGAATGCTTAATGACCTAGTCTGCAAATTATGTGGTTGCTATGATGCGGTTTTGAGGGACCAATCAAGCGGTCAGAATGACAATGATGTGATAAAGAAAGAACTAGACATGTTCTCTAATAACTATGATTGTAAGTTCACTCTAAAGCATGCTTGGAGAGAGCTTAGGCATGACCAAAAATGGTGCTCTGTGTATCACGCTAAGGATAGTGGTAAAGAGAAGCAGAAGACTATTGGCGGTGCTGATGAAGGCCAAGAGGAGGGTGGTAGACCTCTGGGTATCAAGGCTGCTAAAGTGGCTAAGAAAAAGAAAGGTGGTCAAGAGGAGTCTTACATTGAGTTAAAAAATGTGTTGGAGATGAAAGACAAAATAAACAAGCAGAAGTTCCTGGAGAAGTTGCTTGACAAGCCTGAGCCTCTTCCTGAGATGGAAATGTTATTAAAACTTAAAATGATGTCAGAAATGATCTAATTAGGATAAGTTTAGCTCACTATAACTTAAACTGTCATTTGTTGAATTCTTTAGTGCAGTGGCTAACTATTTTGTTTTCTCTGTCACAGGTGGAATAGAAGAGGAGCACGGGAGCAGAGAGGAGACTGCTATGGTTTCTTGTTTTATGTAATGTGGACCTATCCGACGTTGTTGTTTTATGTCATGTGAACCTTTGTTTTTTTCTTTCTGTTGTCATGTGAACTTGTTGTTTTTGTTGATATTTTTTGTTGTGTATCTCTATTTAAACATGTCTGAACTTGTAATATGTATTGTTCTCAAGACTCTGTGTCTCTCATTCGCACGAGCTTCTTTATATTTCTATTGATTCAGCTTTCGATTTGATCACCAAAAAAAAAGATAGCTTCCAATATTTCTTAAACATCTCATTCACTTGAGTTTTTATCATCTTTTTACTCTTCCAATATATCTTAAACGTACTCTTCCAAACATAAACATGTCATCCTCATCCAACGACCAAGAAGACAATTTAGAAACCATTTTTGAAGATTATTTTGAACAACAAATTGATGTAATGTACAACAACATAGTGGAGTCTCAACCTACATTTCGTAGGATACGCGCATACATAGAAAGAAACCGAGAGGAAGGGCACAACCGTTTATGGAACGACTATTTCAGTGCGGAGCCGACATATCCACCTCACTATTTTAGGCGCCGTTTCCGAATGAACCGAGCATTATTCACGGGGATTGTTAATCGCCTCTCCAATGAAGTTCCTTATTTTCAACATAGAAGAGATGCAGTAGGACAGTACGGGCTATCTCCACTACAAAAATGTACTGCAGCAATTCGTAGGTTGGCTTATGGTTGTGCGGGTGACATGGTTGACGAATATCTCCGCATGGGTGAGACCACTACCTTATTGTGTTTGGAAAAAAATACTCAAGGAATCATACATTTATATGGAGAAGAGTATCTACGAAGACCCACACCAGAGGATCTTCAATGACTACTTGATATCGAAGAGCTACGTGGTTTCCCTGGGATGATAGGAAGCATTAAATATGTGTATTGGGAGTGGAAAAATTGTCCACACTCTTGGAAAGGCCAGTACTGTCGTGGTTCTAACAAGCCGACAATTTTCTTAGAGGCTGTAGCATCGCAAGATCTGTGGATATGGCACGCGTTGTTTGGACCACCGGGCACTTTGAACGATATTAATGTCTTTGATCGATCTCCGGTTTTTGATGACATCTTACAAGGTCGAGCTCCAAGAGTTGAGTTAATTGTCAACGGGCACAAATACCATAGAGCATACTACCTCACCGACGGTATATATTCAAAGTGACCTATATTTATCCAATCCATCTATATTCCTCAAGGTCCTAAGGTGGAGTTATTTGCAGAACGTCAAAAAGCCGCCAGAAAACATGTCGAGCGTACTTTTGGAGTCTTGCAAGCTTGTTTTGCAATTGTTAGAAACCCAGCTCTTCTTTGGGACAAGGAAAAAATCAGCAACATTATCAGAGCATATATCATACTATACAATATGGTAGTGGAAGACGAACGAGATGGATACACTCAATTCGATACATCTATATTCGTTGAAGGAGAAACAAGCAGAAGTTCAGAGGTGGATTTCTAGTTCTCTACAAACATGCCTACGAATCTCAGTAATATACTTGCCATTCGGAGTGAACTTCGCGACCAAAGGATACATGAACAATTGAAGACTGATTTAATTGAGAATGTATTTGCAAAATTTGGACATCAAGAATAATAATTATTGTATGTATAATATTTGTTTTTCAATAAACATAATTATTGTATGTTTAATATTTGTATGTTTAATATTTGTTTTTAATAAACATAATTTTATTTTATTTTTAAGAACCTCTTTTTGGAGTTCACTAATGGACACCCAAAAATATTAAAAGTCCTTAACTTTCCCAAATTAATTAAAATAATTAAATTAAAATGCTAAAAACCACACTTCACACGCGGATCAAGAAAAAATATGATGATTTCGGTGAATCCGTGTCTTGCAGGTTCGTTGGGATGAACCCGGATCAACACTGTTTCGCGGGCTCTACGCCACGTAGCAGCCCGGAATTGGTTCAGATATATATATATATATATATATATATATATATATATATATATATATATATTTTTTTTTTTTTTAAAACAAACGGAAAAAAAAATTGTGAACCCCTCTTCCCAAGTTCACTAATGGGGTGCTCTTAGATCCCCACACATACATACTAAAAAAGTATTGGTATAATAAGTCATATATTTTAGTAAAACATGACATCGGGAAGGATAATTTTCAGAATCTCATTTTTGTTCGAATACTCCCTCCATTACAAATTTGGGTTGATAAGATGTTCCATCTTAAACTATATTTGTGTTGAAAAGAAAAGATTGGACGAAAATGATCACGTTCATAAGACAACACATGAGCAGATATACTATACGTAGAATGGTAAGAGAATAATATTGTGTATCATCTCTTTCTCACAACTATTATGGTTGAATTTTCCTAACACTCAATCACAACCACAATAGTCGACGAAGAGTGAATACAGACATATTCGTCCATAGGAAAATATCGAGAGGGTCACATGCCATGGTAAGTATTTCCATCCCTGACACACCACTTCTCCATTATTTATAATAAGGTTTAAAACAAACACCTGACACACTGTATCCTATTCTTATTTTACCATGTTGTTGTTATTGAAATTTCATTTGTTTCTTGATTGAGATAGATGGGACTTGCATTGTTTCCTATCTATTATGAATATTCATAGATATCAGAAAGACAAACACTATTTTCTTAAAGTCTGCAATCACCCCAATCAAATGCAGAACGCGTCACCATTCGTTCAAAAATCATAACTCAATAATATGTCCCCGCACATAAGAATAATTCATTTTCAAATTGGGGGTATTTGCCGTAATAGTGAATGAGTTTTTTTTTGTTGATCTATATGTTTTTGTTTTTTAGGGATCTCCTTTTTTTTTTTTTTTTTTGTAACTGCCTTCGTTGATTAAATTGAATAAGAGTTTTAGTTATACTCAATGGGACATGAAAATTGAAATCAAAGGAGTTTTGAGTTTGAAATGTTAGATTAACTTTTATGATTTCTATTATGAAATCAACACCACGACCTAATCTAGATTTAGTTTAATTCAACCCTAATAGTTTCTTAGAGAAGAGAAAAACACTAACCTTAATCTATGCTTTCCTTGCTTTGGTTTTTGAGTCAATACTCAATTTGATCTTCTCCCCTTTAACCTTCGCTTTAGGGATTTCTTTGATGAACAAGAAACCCAAACCTTTCTCTTATTCTCCTTTGATAATCACTATTATTGTGTTATCTTTAAAAAGACTTTCCGTGTATATATAAAACGAGTACGAGTCTGTTTTCTATATCACTTCAGAAGGGATGTGTAAAACCAACACAACTCCTTCTTTTTTAAATCACACCTCAACGTATATATATTACTATTAGTAACAACTCTATCAGATTCAGGTTGTTGTCCTTTCTTTTTTATATTTAATTGTATTAACTATTAAGAGTAGTAGTAGGTAGTACCAAGAACATTTGTGAAAATATTTTCTTTATTTTATGTTACAAACTGATTAAAAATTCTTGTCATATAGTTAATACCACTTGAAGAAGGTGATGGCTCCTCTAACGAAAGAATTGTTCGTATTTCTGGGGATAAAAGGCAAATTGTATAGCTACCAAGTTGATAAAGGAAGCCAAGGATCAGGTCTGTCTTATGTTGTTATTTTCTAAATGATGTCAATGCTGTTTTTTTAGTGCATGGTTTACATCCGTAACATGTAATTAAATTTACATAGCATTGTTAGAATATAACCAAGAAAAAACTTGTAGCAATATTAAAATCAATCATCATCTTGCTAAAGGTAACAACGTTTTTGAAGTTCACTACTTTTTTTTTTGTAATGGTCCCAATTAGTGTCTTCATATGTTCATCATGTTTTTAATTTGGATATGACAGCTTGTTGTTTTAGCTTATGTGGTTTTAACTGTTTGGGTGGTTAAAGTATTTTCTGAAAAATTGATAGATAATAAAATTTAATAATATCATATAAATGCAACACAATTAAAAAATGAATACAATGTTAATAGATTATGAATCAGAATAATTATTTACAAATGAATATTTTGTAAAAATAAATTATTGCAAAGCAGTTTATTTAAAAATCTAGAGTATTTGATTATTCATAATCTTATTGTCTCAAATAAAGTATTGGAAAAGAGTACATGCAAAATAAAATAAAATTATGAGAAAACATAAGGTAAACATATTCAAATCATTAGAAGTCTAAAGTCTACACTACCAAAATCTTTTCAGATCTAAAATGTACAATTACAAAATATAAACAAAAAGTACAGATTTAAAATGAATAGAGTTAAATTTTACATTTTGGGAATATAATTTGAAAACTTTGGAAGAGAATACCTGAAAAATAAGATAAGATTATGAAAAATATAAGAAAAAAAATTAAAATCATATTTGGATAGGCTTCTAATGAAGTCTACTTAAAAGTTAAGGTTTGTAGTATACTCAATCCAAAAAATTTTAGATCTGAAAAATATATACATTAAAACATGAAAATAATTTTAAATTTAAAAGTCACCTCTATTTTTGTAGATTTTTTTTTGTAGACTTCATTAGAAGTCTACTATAACATATAATATTCAGATCTGAAAACTATGTACAAGTGAAAAATAATAAAATAGTTTTAAATCTGAAAAAACTTCAAAAATAGAATTTATTAGATAAAATATTAGCAAAGTAAATGCACAGAGTTTGTATTTATAACTTTATTTGAATATAAACATAAAAATACACATTTTCAATTTGTAGATCTAAGACTTACATATTTAGAGTGGAAGGTGATAACTATGAATGAACCTACAAATACAAGATAATATTGTGAGAAAGATTTGATAAAATATTAACAAACTAAACAAAAGTGAATCTTCACATTCAAAGAATTTAGAGAGAAAATAAAGAGTTTTAGAGAGAAGAGAGAGAGTTTTCAGAAACTTGTGCAGTCATTTTAGAAAGAGATTGTGTAAATTTCATTTATATAGGGATACATAAATTGTAACAAGGTTAAAAGTTTCGACAGTGTACACTTTCTTGAAGTTGACTAAAATTAAGATTTTGGAGTAAAATTTATTGTAAGTCTACTCACTAGACTTTTTGGAAATTTACTTGGAAATCTACTATGATTATATCATAATTATTGTTTATTCTCTATTGTTTTAATAATTTTAATATATGATTTATTTAATTATTTCTTTATTTTAATATTTATATTATACAATTTCATATTTTAATTCATAAAGAACTCAATTTAATTTTAAAATAAAGAATTTAAATTAAAATAGACAGAAAAATACTTGTACAGTGAAGTAGACTTTATTGTAGTCTACCAAACCCTAAACCACAAAACCCAAACCCTATAAGTTTGCTTGATAACTAAAAAAATCACAGTTATTATCAAATATCAAAATATACAAAATATAAACTATCAAACACTAATTTGCAAATTTATGTCAATGAAACAAAAAAAAATCTCAATATAAAATCCAACCCAAAGAATCCACCCCTAAAGACATTACATGTTAGAACATATTTTGCTAAACTATAAACATTATCCAACACATAGTTACCTAATCAATATATAGTCTTTAAAATTGTTCAATTATATCACATTTTAACTTATATACCTCATATTGGTTCTTATATTGATGATTTTAAAAAAAAATCACACAATTTAATTTATATATTTTTAAAATAAAATTATAGGATTAAATTATGATGTAGACGTTATCAGAAGTATCTACAAAGTTGACTTCATAATAAGTCTACACGTTGTAGACTTCTCTCTATTAAATGTAGACTTCAAAAGGATAAAAATGTAAAATAACATTCAACTTTTTTGTATAGTCATAAACGGTAAATAGACATGTCCCTACTTCCAAAATTTAGTTTTGTATTTGATTGAATAAGGAGTCTACTTTTGTATTTGAAATGATGTTTTAGGTTAATTTTGGAAAATGTCCCTTTTATTATATCAATAGGTTGGCTAGCTTTACAAAAAAAATATTATATATTTTTTATTAAGACTTAATGGTGGTTTATATATACTGATAATTTTTGTTTTCAAAATTTGATTTTTCTTTTAAATATTAGAATTAGTTAAATAATACTAAAATTTTAGTAAATATTCTTTTAGTATAATCAAAACTAAGAAACTGTGAGAAGGTATTGCATCATGGACAAAAACGAGTCTTGATCATTGATAAAATTCCTAAAATCATATATAGTTTGCTAAATTTTTACATTTGAAAGTCTCAAACATCCATCACAAACTCAACCTTAAATATTTCTCCTCTTCCCTACTCTCACTTGAATTTAAATGAATAAAGTAAATTACAAACTTATAAACTATTCACAAAACGAAATTGGAGACAAAGCCAAATGCAAGTTTCTCAAGTGATCCCTTTAACAGTGATAATGAACTTGAAGAAAGAACCCAGAACATAACAACTCTTCTATTCTTGATCTCCTTAACCTTCAATTCCGCAAAAGTCTTTGGGTCGTTTGGCAAGTCTAATTGGTCAATGCAGCTATTTTGGCAAAGCAAATCCTCTTCTTCTCCCAATAGCCCATTTCATACTATATAACCTTAACCAACTCATTGAGATTATTTGAGTAGTTTGTTCCAAGCATGAATTTTGTACAAAAAGTTTGGTGAATATACATAAGTTTTAGGATTTGAACTTGCGATGTAGGATTGAAAGAAAAGAAAATAATTTTTATTTATATATTCAAATTTAAGTGCATTTAAAATATATGTAAAAACAAATTTATGAAAAATTTGATAATAATTTTAATATATCTTATATATAAATTAAGCAATTTATGCAAACAAATATAAGCAAATGACATTCATAAATTTAATATATAAAATCCACGCGTAGCACAGAAAATTCTCTAGTTACACCTAAAAGAACGAAAATGAATGTTCAAACACTACAAGAGTAACTGTCACAAAATCTTCAACTCTCTACCTTTTGTTTTCCCGAATCAACACTATCTCTTAAGGTTTGATTGGTTTTGTCACTATGATCCGCAAACACGTCGTTTCCTCTTGCACCAAAGGAAATTTTAAACATTTCAGAAAAAGTTCACATTTATCACTCAAAATTCACTTTGTTCCTGACTGAAGCAAATAATAAAATGGATGTGCTCCAAGTAACTATGAAAACCACAAGATTTGGTTTAGAGAAATAAAAGGAGAAATCAGAAATATATTTTAAAATATATATATAATTATTTTAAATTAGAAATTATGATCCCATAGATTATTTTTAAAATAATAGAATTAGTTTACACCTTATATTTGAATATATTCTATATTTCTAACAGAACTGAGTGCTTAATGATGATTTATAGGATTAATTTTCATATTTTAATATATTTATTTTCTCTATTTTAATATTGTTAATTTTAGATTTTATATATAAACATAAAACATGAATTTTTTATTTTCGTATGTTTTTATTTATTTATGAGATTCTGTTTTTTAAAGGATGTGTGATTCGATAATGGAATCACAAGCTTTTGACATGTTTTTAAATTAATTATTTTAGAATTGTTGAAGAAGCGAGATTCTCCAAGCTTCCATAAGGTTCCGGTTTTGATTTCAGCTTTGAAATAGGATACAAACATATTACAAAAACCTCCATGAAATATAGGTGTACACTTTGGTGTGAACAAAGAAGTACATCCTGGTGTACAAAATCATATATAGCGGGGTGTACACCACGGTATACATTAGGGTGTACAACCCTAGTATACACTATATTGTACACTAGGGTGTACACCCCAATATACAACTAAGGTGTACACTTCGACGTACACCTGAGACGTACACCCTTATATATACCAGGGTGTACATCATAGTTGTAGACCTTAGTGTACACCGTATTTATATACCAGTATCGATGTATACTACGACATACACTTCCATTATAGGCTACGTATACATGTTGTTATATAGAGCTAAAACATTCAGATATTAGCTTTTAGGGTGTTAAGTTTGAGTATATGATTTAGGATTAAAGAATTATGGTTTAAAGTCGATGGTGGAGGGTTTAGTATTTGATTTAAGGTTTTGAACAATTTTGTATGGTATTTGGTTCGTTGCAATGGCATATTTTATAGTGTTTAGAAAATAATGTATCTAATATATTATTTAGGGTATAGGTTTACTGTGTGGTTTAAGGTTTATCATTTTTAATTGAAAGTTTATAGGGTATATGATTCATCTTCGAAGTCTTCTTCTATTAAATTCATAAAGATATATATATTTCGCATGAGAGTCTTAGAAATTTTTAAACATTAAAGTTTAAACATTAAACCTTTTGTATGATAAAAATTTGGTGAAGGACTGGAATATATGATTTAAAATACTACAAAATAGATTTATATTAATAACAGATTGATAGATTTTTTTTTTTTCACGAGAAAAGTTTCATTAAAATGTTACCGAAGACAATACAGAGACCAGTCAAACTACAACCCACCCTCAAACATACCCTGCAACAACCGATCATACAAAAGATCTAATCACTACCCCACCGTCAAAGACATCGAAAAACAGAATGAGAAAGCTTAGAGGGACCGGCTTTCATTCACAAAGACCTCAAAAAGCCAACTAGGATGACCATAGGCCACATAAGATTGACATCTATTTTGTCTTGTAACACTTTGCGCAATGAAAGACGCTCCTCTGTTTTCCTCCTTCGATACAAACTTCAGCTTAAACTCATTCATTCTAAGAAGAAGAAATTTCATCTCTTCCACCTGAAATCTCAAAGCTGGCCACTGATGAGGTTTCTGAAAAGCCAAGAAGAGCTCTTTAAAATCGCCAGCAAAGACAACTTTTTCATACCGCATGCTCGTCATACTCTCCAAAGCCCATAGCAAAACTGCGAATCTAGCATCAGAAAGAGAAACAATATTCGAGAAAGCTCTCCTACTATGTGACAAGACATTCCCCCTGCAGTTACGTACGACCCACGCTCCGCCAAGAATCGATTGTTCTTTATTCCATTCAAAAGCGACATTGCAGATTAGCCATCCTTCCTCTGGAGGTAACCACTTCTTTTTAATACACATCACATCCTTCTGCACTTCACACTCCACCTCTTTATCAATTACTTGGGACAGGAACCAATCATCCGCTTCCTCCTTAGCCTTCTTTACAATTTCCTCTGGTAACCATCTGATCCCTTTAAAAAGAAGATCGTTCCTACTTTTCCAGAGATACCAAGCTAACCAGGGCCAGGCTCTTTTATCCTCTACAAACCCACGAGACTGGGAATTAAGCCCCATAAGATAGTTGACATTGGACAGTAAGAGTCCTTCCTGCATTTGAAACTCAGGTTGGGGTATTCCAGACAAAGCCCACACATATCTTGCCACTGGACACTGGAACAGAATGTGTTGAATCGTCTCACCATCTTCTCCACAAATCTGACATCTATCATCTGACAGATTGATAGATTTATTGTGTTTATTCAAACAATATAATTTTATAAAAGAGATTTACAGTGAGATTTACAGTGTTACTGTAAAATAAATTTATAGGTTTACCGTGGACAAAGATTTAGTCTCTTAAAGAAAAAAATCTAGGCATGACCAGAGAAGAAGATTCAAACAAAAGCAATATGGAATTTGACCAGATAACAAGATTTAAATCTGGATTAAACCCGAAAAGCTAACTCACAAACAGGTTGAAGCTTTATTGAATCAATTTAACCAGAAACAAAATAAAAAGATTGGAGATATGTCCTGATTAAATTAAACTACAATCCAAAATAGCCAAACGAACCATTAATGAGAAGAATAAAGGATAAAAGAAACAGAGAAGCAAAGAGAAAGATAGCAATATTTTCCTTTTAGGGCTATTTATGTGAATAACTATATTGAGATTCAATATTGGCAAAATGTACATTTTTATTAATAATTTGCGAACATGGTGATGGACATGGTTGAAATTCCATTTGTAACCTCGGTACCTAATTTATTAATAATTTGCGATCCCGGAGGAGTTTTGTTGCAACCGCTCCGACGGGAAGCAATGGCAGTGCAAAATACGAGCTTTGGAAGGGAAGAAGCTCTGCGAGACTCATACCTCGCAGCTCACTCAGAAATGGACCAGGGAGAAAATTGCTGCGTCCACGAAGCTCGCTAGATCAAGAAAAGGAGACGAAGCGGCTGCTGTGTCTTCAAAGATTAGGGATAGTGAATTGGGGAAATCGAAGAAGATGAAGCGGTGAGGAAAGTGAAGTTGAAGAGGAGGGATTTGCGATTGGATTTATTAGGATGGCATTGAAGAGAGAAGCTGAGAAGAAGAAGACGTTACCAACGAAGAGAAGAAGAAGAGTAAAGGTTTTGGTGGTTTTGTTAGGGAGGAGTTAACGAAGGTTTTACCTAATGGCATTATGGAGATTTCTCCACCTTCTCCAACTACAAGCGATGTGTCATCATCTCCTTGTGATGTTAAAGTAGGCCAAGAAGCTATCTCGATGACTAGAAGAAGGTTTAGGTCTAAGAATGTTGAAGCTTTACCTTTGGGAAGATGCAGGTAATGTAAATTCTGACACTTTGTGTATGTACGTACATATTTAGTTTATTTGTCAGTTGGTTTTTGTGTGTTGTCTTGTAAAGGTGGTTCCTTCAAGGGGAAATTGGTTAATGAAAAGAAGAGGTGCCATTGGTGTGGAACCAGAGGATCTGAGGACTTGATTAGATGTTTGAGTTGTGAAAGAAAGTTCTTTTGCGTTGATTGTATCTAAAAAGGTAAAATATCATGATTGCTTTACTATTCACTAGCCTTATCTCTCGCTCAACTCTCTCTCTCTCTCAATCTCTCTCTCTCTCAAGATAAGTTATAAAAGGAAGGTTTTTTGCATTGGATATACATAGAACATTCATAAATTAGGTAAGTGGATACGGAACTGTTGGGATTTAAAGTAAGTCACCTTTTATTAGTTTTTATTTTTTGAAAAAAATAAAATGGCAAAATTGTAAATATATGTGTTCTATAGAGGCTGCAGAAACTTGTACAAGACTTAGAGCATCCACAATGGTGGTTTCCATTTTGGAGTCCTTAGGGACTATTTTAGTTTTTTTTAATTGAATAGTTAAGGACTCTTAGCAAAATAATCAGTTCAATGGTGGATTCTTTTCAGGAATCCTTAGGAAATTTTTTTTTTTTTTTGTTAAACATATGAAAGAATTTGATTCCATGAAAGAAACACATAGTTAAGTAGAAGAAAACTTCTTCCACATTCAGATTTGTTTTGGCACTCAGACATGGGAAATGACTTACTTTAAGCAAACAAATACGACCAATGTAGTTGTTCTCATGAGACAAACGTTTGACTTACTGTTACAATTACTGCAAAATTACTGCAGGTTCAGTGTTTGAATTACTGCTGAAGGATGAATCGTCAGTGACATCATACACCAGCAAAATGCCCATTTCCCCTCGTTAATAAGCTGCAAAAGTGTAAAAGTGGACGTCAACAAAAACTACTATTGCAACAAAAGAGGCTGACATGAAAATCCCCAAAACATCAACTGTAAAAAGAAAGTATCAAGTTGATACTATACACCACAACATTGATTAGACTACAAAAACTAAAAAGATACTCTTAATCCTCTCCAAATCAATGTATGTTAAAAGACACTACTAGAGCAAGCAAAGTATACGAAAAGAAGGTTTCACTCACCAGTGGTGATGGTTCGGAAACATTCTTGACCAGCAGTATCACAAATCTGGAGTTTGATGCGTTAGGCATCAAGCTCAATTGTTCTTATCTTAAAATCAATCCTGTTCAAATGTATGCAAATGAATCTTATCTTTTCGCTACCGGCTATATATGTTACAGTAACAAGATAACAAGAATGTACAAACCTGTCCAAGGCTTTCAATAGCAGGAGAGAAGCGTAGACCACGGTACAGCACACGACATCTCAACCTCTGAATATCAATAGGGAGATCATTGTTTGCAAGTGTTTAAGACCAAAGAAGCCAGTCCACCATTACTTCTCACTGTTATATAATGATCTAATTCTAGAAGTTCTACAAAAAGACCAAAGAAGCTAATGTTTAAGACCAATCATGTAATAAAGCACACTAATATTTTGGATCACAGTATCAAACTCAAAGATTCAGCTACTTCATATCGTGAGAGACATTAGTAAATCCAAAACCTGATCACTCAAACAAACCTAGAGAAGACGAAAAGATAAAAGCTATTGCTTCTAGAGCTCAACACAGACCCACAGATTCAGAATCTCTCTAATCACACACCTATAATCAGACCTGCTCAATGCAAAAGGCCACAAGAAGCATCGATCCCGGAACATTCAATAACTTGTTAGCAGAGCGATGTAATTAACAACGATCTAATCTACGAGAGGAAACATAACACAACAAGTAAAGCAGCACAAGTTGAAACCTTTACGCAGAAATAAGAAAAGCAGGGCACAAGTCCAAGTCTTTTAACACAGAGACACAAAAACGTGGAAAAAAGAAAAAGTTAGGTACTTGATGTTTCCTCTGTTTGGTGGAGCTAGTATGAGAGCTCGTAGGAAGATGTTCAATAGGATTTTAAAGCAAAGAAAATGGTGGAGGAGGAAGAAAATGATAGCTGGCGAGATACAAGAGTGGACAATGACAACCCCTTTTTAATCCTTAGCTAAGGATGAATTCCTAGCTTTTTTGGGTTTTATATTAATATTATATTTGATTAAGTTAAAGATTATTTCCTAAGGACTCTTTTTTTTCCCTGTTGTACATGGTCTTAGTTATTGGGTTTAAAAGGTAGGCTGTCCTCTTTGCAAATAAAAACTTTGTATGACCCATACTCCTAATTGTTAACTTATCATCAGGACCCACTTTGACAATAAATTCCTACTAATTAGCTGAACCACTGACAAATACAAAGACATATGGAAAGGGGAAAGAGAGCATATGATACAATTTGGTGGAGGAATTATTTACAGCCAGCAACAACAAGACAATTTTTGGTGATACTGTAAATGATTCCTCCGCCACTGATATAGCGTTATTATTTTTTCTTTTTAAGATATTCATCTCTTATTTTTTGTTTTTATTATAGAAACTTTAGTTTCTTTTACATTTGAAGTTTCTAAAATTGAACAAAGAATACATAATTTTGTGTCACAACAATTGTTCTTACTAAAAACTTAACAAACAAGAACTTCACTTTTATTTTTATTAGAAATATAACTTAATATCATACCATTATATTTAATTAATATGTTAGTCAAAGTTTTTAAAACTAACATTTTTAGCACAAATCTAATTCAACGTATTTATTACTAAAAAAAAGTAAACTCAGTCCATCTTTAGAAACAAAAACCAAAAACTATTTTCTATTTATAAAATAAAAATATAATAAACAATCTTCCATTTCAAAATCATGAATCAGAATCTATTTTTTAATTAATTTTAGAATAGGGATTATTATTTTGATAGAAATAAGTTTATGCATCTGAATGTATAAATGTGTAGTAAATAATTAATATAATTAATACTTTTAATTGTTCGAGTATCTTTGTGTTAATAGTTTGCATAATTTCATACGATTTGTCAATATCCATATCAATATGAAAAATAGAAAAAAATCTCTAAAATTTTAGTTTGAGATATTTATATTATTTTAAAATCCCAAACATAAATACTTTAAATTATTTGGAAATTTTGTCTATAGAAATACCAAATGTTGTAAGGTAATGTTTTTGATTTTTAACATATATTAAAAATGTTATGATGATATTAATATTGTAAATATAAATTAATTATTTCATAATAATAAATGCATGTATCAAATAATGAGTAATGATATATTTTCAATAATTTTACCCTGATTTTAATAATTGGTATTAACTTCTAATGATTTTTTTCTATACATATGTATACCTACAATCCATAAAATCACTATAACTTCAATTAAAGATATTTCAGTTATTTTCAGATTTAATATATACAGTTCCCATAAATTATTTAAATTTGTCTATATAAAACTACAAAGATAGATTATTCATGTTGTGTGTAGATAAAAATATCATTATCCAATTTATAGTGCTATATTTTAACTTTAGGATGACATCATCAAAACTTTACTTTGTTGCTCTTTTAATCATTGCTTCAGTTCTTGGTAGTGTTCAATCCACTCGTAAGTTCTTTTTATCTTCATAGTATTCTTTTTTAATTTATCAGTAAAACCATTTGTATCTCACATATTAGTAAGAAACTTAAAATGACTTACTGTGTATATATATTTATTATTGTGGTGGATGATTCAGGAATGATGGATGCCTCATCTGATTGTGAGTTCAAAGGACCATGTACAAAGAAAGAAGATTGCTATGATAAATGTGGAGTGAACAAACCACCTTTTAATAATGCTATATGTGCACCGTATGGAAGCAGTCGTAAATGTTGTTGTATTTTATCGTGAGGTTTTAAAAATTTCATATACTTAAACTAATGTCATGAAAGTTATAATAAAATAAAATATATTAAGTTTTTTTTTATGTAGAATATATTAAGTTATTCTACATAAATTGTGTTTAAATCTTTATTAATAAAGTTAAGTTATCTGGAGAGAGAGGGGGGGGGGAGCTTTTTTGCCACATGTCGATAAGCCAAGTTGGCTGTGTATGTCACACACTTTTTTCATCTCGCGCGTGATTATTTCTGAAAAAATGACTGTATGTCACGCAATTTTTTTAGTTTCCGCACGACACTTTTTCTGAAAAGATCCTTTGTTTGGGTCACTTTTAGCCTTCAAATATAAGCCCAACAAAGCCCATCTTGTCATGTCGTTTGTGGTACACATGATTTTAGGGTTCTCCTTCGGTCTTCTTCTTGCGGCGGCTCCTTCCCCACTGAGATTTCACATAAACTTTACACTTTCTTCGCTTTCTGTAACGTCTCAGAACTCCTTAAATCCATCATTTATTTTGAGTTTTCCCTTGAGTAATCCGTTCCTCCTTCATTAAGCTTTCGGTCCACCTCTGCGTGTTCTATGAAACCTCCTACATCTCCAGCTATAAATAACTCACCTTCATACCATGCAAACTCCAACTCAAAACAAATCTGCAAACTTTGAAATTGCAAGGAAACGATTCCGATGGCTAATTCATACACTGTTATTGCTTATTTGAGAGCTGGGAGATGCTCCAACGCCGCGGAGGTCCTTCTTCTGAGATTCTGGGAGGCCAGGAAGATCAACAAAAGGGGGCAACTGATGAGCGTGATGTTATTGATTGATGAGCATGTAAGTATATTTTCACACACTTATAATTATCTACTCGTTGAATCTCTTGACGCTTTTCTCCATTAGATTTAAAAAAACTCCACCAATTCTTTCGGTATCAATTTCATTGCAATCACCTAATTAGTTTTCTATGATTTGTTTGACATATAATTATCTTCTCCGTTTAATCTCTTGACGTTTTTGGGAAACATGCATTCGACCAGCAAGTCCTTTTATTTCTAAGCCACACTATAACTATATAGCTTGGTTTTTTTTTCCATACTGTTTACTCCTTTTCCTTTCACTACAAGAAAACGTGGGCTTAACGACTGCACTTTTCGAAGTTATTTGGTCGTAACGCACACATTACGACCAAACACAAATGGTCGTTAGTAGCAAGTCATAATTAACAAATGGTCGTAACATAGATGTAATGTGTACGACCAAAGTATTTGGTCGTAAAACAGTTGTAAAGGGCGTAGTCGTAACTTAGAGGTTGATGTGACGTAAAGTTACGTCCAAATATGTGCACGTGCATTGGTCGTAATCAGTGGTCGTAAAATAGAAGTACTATTTAGATCTAAATGGGAAGTTAATGAGTCGTAAATTTTACGACCAAGTTACATCTTCTTAGTTGTAATGTGGTCGTAAAATTTACAAAGTTTACCTCCATTAGTTTTGTAGTCATAATGTCGAGGTAACGTTTACGACGAATTTAATTTGAACTTTTATTTTTATTTTATGACTACTTTACGTCCAAGTATATAAATTTAAATTTATGAATTTTAAAAATTTTAACTAAAAATTTTAAATTTTGAATTAAAATATTTATAAAATCCTTCAATTTCGAAAATATTAAAAAAACATTAACTTAATAAATCCAAAAACATAATATATTAAAATTACAAAAAACTAATTATTAAGGATTAATGTTTTAAAAAAACTGGGAGGTATGCTTCTCGGCTGCTTGCTCCGCAGTCGCCTGCTCTTCTGGATTTGGATTGGGGTTGATTGTTGAACGTCTAGATCGCCACATCTGTGCAAGGACTGGTTTTGTTTCTGCAATAACATCAAACCTCTCAGCCATTGCCTTAATGTGGCTCCTGTTGGCCTGGTTGTCCGTCTGGAGGGTCGAAATGACTTGGTTGGCGTTCGTCAATTCGGCCCGGAGCTGAAACTTTCATGCAGTCTTGCAGCATGTTCAGCTCTAGCCCTCAGGACATCGTTCACCATACCAATCCGGATCATCCGCCCCCTCTTCTTCGCGATAACCTTCATTCAATAAAAAAATAACTTAAGTTAGTACATATTTAATAAAATTATAAAATTAATAATTTAAATTGAATAATAATTTACCTCCTCAAAAATTTTGTCTTGTTCGACGGTGGTTAACTGGACGGGTTCTCCTTGTTGCGACAACTGGGTCTGGACCTCCTGGATCCGAGCCTCAACATCGTTGTAGATCTTCTCTGCTCGAGGATCCACAAACGTCCCATCAACATGCTGGTGCGTCAACTTATAAAGTCGGGAAAGAGACGGTGATGCTCCTTCCCGAGCAGCCTACAAAAATTTAAAATTAAACTCATGTATTCAAAATCAAATTTATTAATATATAATTAATAATCAAATAGTAATAATTCTAAAACTAATATAATTCTAAAGATAATCTAATTCCATCCTAAACTAATCACATAAATCTAAACTAACCACCTAAATCTCTAAACTAGCCACCTAAACCCTAAACCCTAAAATTAAATTAAAAAAACATACCTTTTAGAGAGGGAAATTGGTGGGTAGTGAGAGAGGAAGAGCAACGAAATGAGCTCTGCGACTCGCGTGGCTATATAGGGATTTTCTCGTGGTCGTAAAGTAGTCGTAATTAACTTCGAGATTACGACCAAAACTGTGTTACGACCAGTTAGGGTCCAAGATTTACGACCAATTAGGATTGACACGTGTCCACGTTACTACTATGTTACGAACAAATATATTTACGACCACTTAGGGTCCAAAGTTTTACGACCAATTAGGGACTACCGACGTAAATACGACCAATTAAGGTCCATTGTTTTACATCCCTGTGGGAACCAAAATTCACACCGTCGATTTCCATGAATAAAAGAACTAAGGGAAAACCCTAATTTCCCAGAGGTCTCGGCTATCTGCTTAACCACACGCAAGCAATCAGAATACGAGAAAGATGATAAAATAAAACGAGAATTGAAAAGAGAGAAAAGAGGTTTCTTATTCCGATTTTGCGTAAGAACGGTACAACGAGGTAAAAGCCCTGGCCACAAGAGCTGACGGAGAGTTTCCTTGTTCTAGCAACCTAAGACTAAAACCCTAGTTGAGACGCAGCTCGATAACAAAAACGGAAAGTTGCCTAAATGCTAAGTTTTTCTGTGTGATGAGAGCTCTGAAAATCGTCCTCCGTTCTTGTCCTTGACCTTCTGCTTATATACTCCTTCTCTAGGCGGTTAGTCTTTTCTTTTCCGCTCCGATTCGCGCTTATCGGAAATCTTCTATTTTTCTCGAAATTTTCATTTTTCTTCGGAAAACTTCTATTTTATCTTCGAACTTGACATTTTCCCACTTCTGCGAATAATGGGTAAGCCGACATCATCTCTTTGGGCTGGACCTTGTCTAAAGTCGTGAGTGGACTTTTATCGCGTTTTAGGTCTTTCCGAGCCATTTTGCGATTTAGCCGTTTTACGACTTTAGATGAGATTGTTTCCTGATACGATGCCGTTTTATAAAACATCTCTAGTTAATCGTATAGTTTGGCAATGTTCGGTGTTTTGTTTAATCGTTGCCGTTTTATAAGGTTTACTGGAGGTTTTCCGAGAAAACAAGTCTTTAGCGGTTTTTTTTTATAAAATTTCTCGAGTTAATCGTATAGTTTGGCAATGTTTGGTTTTTTGTTTAACCATTGCCTTTTTATACGATTTACTCGAGGCTTTACGAGAAAACCGGTTTTTTACGGGTTTTGTAGTAAAACTCCAACGGTAAGACGGATCGAGACGAAACGAGAGATGTTACGATCACGGTTCAGAGTACCATCGAGTCTAGGAGCATGGATGGTTTAGTTCAGCTCGCAAACAGGTGAGCTGTTCAAGCACGACCAGCTGAATGGGATGGTTCAGCTCGCCAACAGGCGAGCTAGTCAAGGCTGGCCAGCTTGCATGTTCACAAGCTGGACTGTACGGTTCAGCTCTTCAACAGGCGAGCTGGTTGGTCGTTTGGTTTTGATGGTTTTTTGTTTTCTCGAGCCGAGATCCTCTTGGAGAATATAAGGAGAAATAATCGTAGACGTTGATCTCGTGGTTATCATTTTCAACCTTAATAAAGGCTGAACCGTTCTGGGGAGTTTAGACGTTACGTCCGTGTTTTGCCAATTTGGACAATCGCGGATTGTTTTATTCGGCTTTATGATGATTTCCAAGATGACGATTGTTAAGTTTACGGAATTCCATTGTTCGGGAAGTCTTTAGATTTCTTCTCGAAGTTCTTTCTTATTTCTTAAAACCTACGCTTGACTTTGCGGAAATTTTTGGTCGCTGATTCCGTCTTAACCGATTTTGAACCCAACAGTTAGCCCCCCAGTCCGTAAGAATCGTAGAGTTCTTGCGAGCGGTTTGAACTTGTTTGGCAAGTTTGGTAGAATTAGGCAGAATTTTAACGATCAAAAGTCCGAAGGTGAATAGTAGAAACTTGCTTATAAGTATGTGGAGTAAGCTTTCAAATTCTTTACTCACTTCTCTCCACCTAAATTTTCCTACGGCAAAGAAAGTTACTCTCTCTTTCTCTCTCTCTTTGAATCATTCCATACTTTTTTGATAAGCATGTCTTCTGAACGAGGAATTTCAGAACGAGGAATCAAGCATCCTGAGCGATCTTGAGTGTTCCGTTGGTAACGTAATTCCTGCTCCGGTATTCTTAAGATTTACCGCAGATAAAGAGGAGGTGGAGAGGTATTTCGAAGCTGCGCATATTGTCGAGGCCCCCAAGGCTAACTTCTGGGCTCCTTCAAGGTGTAGATTAATGACGAGACAAAATGGTCCGAGCTAGTGTACCGCTCGTTTCCTCGACGTTATGCGGAGATCTCGCATGATCCCAGATTCGGTGCAGTTTCGCCTTCCTGAATGTGGTCAAGATGCCAAGCATCTGCCTCCGGGTTACTTTATGTGCTACGAGGCTTTTTTGTTCAGTTACCAACTGTGGTTTCCCATCCTGTGGGACATATTTGAACTCTTGGATCGACTTGGGCTGTCGAGCGCAGTATGGCCGTTAGTGCAGATTATCTCGAGGCTATGCTGTCGTTCAAGCGCGCAAAGGGTGGTTATTATTATACATCTCTGCGGGCGACGATGTCGATCATCAAGAAGTTTTCCTCGAATGGTCACAATTGGGAGGAGTATTTCTTTTATGTTCGAATCGATAGCGCCTCGGTAGAGGAGAGCTGCGTCCCCATGTTCAGGAGCGAATGGGGGAAAAAGGGTATTCATTAATAATCATTCATTTCTTTTGCAAACTATAGTTTCTTCTTAAGTTTTGTATTTATTAACAAAAAAAATTAAATAATCTATTTTCATTACAACTTTATACTACTCCCTCCGTTTGTTATTGTAAATAGTATTAAGAATATTTGTTTGTTTCTAAATATAGGTAATTTTCTCACATATAAGTAACTTTTTCTTATTATATAAATTAGACTTTTCTCTCAAATGAAAGTGTCATGTCACTAATTCATCTTTTCTCAGCATGACATGTGTCATGTTCTTGGTTAATATTTTGACTTTTTATTTGTTTGTCAGTTCATATTTAGTTAAGGATTTTTATGGCATTATTCAATGAATCTCACTTTTTTTTACCTATTTAATTACTGAAATTTTACTGCGATATATGTTCCTAAAAAATATTATATATAGCTTTTGGCTAATCAAAAGTTTCTGAGAAATCTCTACATTTAGCGTTTATTATTTTCACTGAGGTTTCTTAAAAAGATACATCAGATATATTTGATTAACCAAAACGTCTTTGGCATCAACTAATGATGAACAAAGTGAATGACAACTGAATATTAGATAAAGAAATCGCATTGTGGCCTCGATCACCGCCAACTCGGTTGTACATATGAAGAAACCAAAATGATTCCTAGGCTTCCTGATAGGAGGAGAGCCACCGCGAGTGGTCGACATAACCCATTGATCGAATATAAAAAAAATGTATAAAAGGCTTTACAATGGTTTGATCAGATATTTTGCTAACTTTATTGAATATAGTTATTTAATACTAATATTTAAATTAAAACCTAATTCAAAGAATTACTAAAAATCAACAATTATTGGTTCTGGATTACTTAGAGTAATAAATCTTATATTTTTTTTACTAGAAATTAATAATTCTTAAAATTATAAATATAAAGTAACAAATGCAGGTTTTATAGCTCGATCTCTTTCATTAATAATCATTCATTTCTTTTTCAAACTATAATTTCTTCTTAAGTTATGTATTTATTAACAAAAAAATAAATAATGTATTTTCATTAAAAATATATACTACTCCCTCCGTTTCTTATTGTAAATAGTATTAATAATTTTTTTGTTTCAAAATATAGGTAATTTTCTTAAATCTAGGTAACTTTTACATGTACTAGATATAATGTGACCAATCAAATAATGTCTATTTTTATAAATAGTAAATTTGATTAATTAAATACTATATTCTAAAAATAACAAATTTCTTAATAATAATGCTTTTATTTTAAACTGTTGTGAAATGGAAGAAGTAATATTGTATGTAAACGTTTAGAAAAATCTCAGTGACAAAAAAAAACTTAGTTTATCATATTTTGTTAATTTTTAGTAAAACCTTAAAAACTCTGAAAATAAGAAAAAACTAACAAAACATGCCACTTGAGTTTCAATTCAAATTAGCATTATTTTCTTACCTCTTTCAATAAAAGATGAACACTATCATCATACAAATTTAAGTAAAGAAGTATTTTTTTGTATTTAATTCGATTAGCTCAAACTTATGAATTTGTGTGTTCCTAAACAGGTTGCCCTTTAAGAATAAATGATCTCCGGAAGAATTTATTTATATTATTAAACTATTCATACAATAAAATTGTATTCTTTAAATATATTATTGCTTTTTAATAGTTATAACTCCCATAATTTTGCTACATTCTTACCGCAAAATTGACACAAAAAATAATTAAAAACATCAAATGTTTATTAGAATTTGAAATTCTTTTCAATTATTTATTAAAATACCAAACTGTCAAATTAATAGGTGATAAGGCTCACCAACTCGTTAACCCAAGGTCAGCTCCACATAATCGACATAGAAGAGTCCTCGTTAAAAACAATTTACTGCATGATGGAAAATAGTTAAAAAATAATGTACTTAATACAATTTAGCTAATATTGTTAGGCATAAAAGAACGTCCTCAAATTAATGTTACCTTAAAATAACTTTCAGACACACAATCACATAGATAGTGATATAAAGTTGTTATTTTTCTCTTTAAGATAATCATCTCTTATTTTGTTTTATTATAGAAACTTCGGTTTCTTTTACATTTGCACTTTATAAAATAGAATAAAAAATATAATTTTGTGTCACAATCATTGTGATCATGATAAACTTAACAAACAAGAGCTTCACTTTTATTAATAGTGGCATAGTCTCCGTGTTTGCGCGGAGCCGGTAACATTAGTAATGTGTTATTTAGTTTTTGTGCACAAAAATTTGGTGTTTGTGTTTTTTTTTTATATATTTTTAATGAATTTCATAAATTATAGTAGATAATTATTTAATGGAAAGAAGAGGAAGAATGTCTTTTCTTTGAATTTTCAAGGAAGTTCAAGTCTCGGGGTTTAATCTTTCTTGGACATGAAATCAACTTTTACTGATCTAACACTATTTAAATGCGCAAATAAAGCCTTTTTACCATGTCCACATCAAAAATTTTATTTGACCAATATTAAGGCTCCAATCATCCACGTAGGTTTCGGTTCACACATTGGTAACCAGGTTTGGTTTTCAGTCCGAAATTCTAATATGGTATTTGGTTATTTCTAATTTGATAATAGGTTAATCTTGCGGAGAAATATAGAAAGCAGAAGTTCTTCTCATATCTTTCGACTTCTTGAGCTTCATTTTCTTCTCTTCCGTTTTGGCGATTAACTAAGCCATTCTCTGTATTTATATATTTCACAAAGTTGGTCATGATCATAGAAGACTCCGTGAGTAATGGAGGCGTTTGTGAACAAAGTTGGTGGTCATGAGCAGAGGTGGCAGCGGCGGAGGAGGCAGTGGTGGTTGTGAACGGAGAAGGCAGAGAAGACACCAGAGTCCTAGGAGCTTGATGGATGGAGGCGGCTTAGGTTTTGGTTAATCAGGTTTTGATTTAATTTTTTTACTTTGTTTTTGGTTTAATGTGTTCTTTAATTATTTATATGCTGATTAATGGAGGAAACTACCTCATATGATACTTCGTGATGGCTCCAAAAAGGTCTTGAATCCTGTTTTTTTCTTTTAATTCTATATATACAGAGTTACAAACTCTCTCACATCTTTATTTGCAGTCACAAAGACGACCGTCAAGGTGCAGAGTTCATGAGTGAGATTAAGACATTGGCTCAAGTCACTCATTTGAGTTTGGTCAAATACTATGGTTATTTGGTTCACAACGACGAGAAGCTTGTGGCTGTGGAGTATGTTCCCAATGGAAATCTCAGAGATCACTTGGATTGTCGGTACTACATTCTCCCTCTTTAAAAACATTCATGTCAATCACAATCTTATTTTAAATGAATCTGATAGTTGTAGGTAAGGATGGAAAGACTCTCGACATGGCAACTCGGCTAGATATCGCAGCCGATATTGCTCATACCATAACTTATCTTCACATGTATACACGTAGTTCACTCCATTTACATTATATTTCATTTCTTCCATGGCAATATGATTACTTATTTTTTATGTCTATAGAGCCACCTCTCATCCACAGAGACATTAAATCATCAAACATTCTACTCACTGACAGCTTCAGAGCCAAGCTTGCTGATTTCGGGTTCGCCAGATTAGCTCCAGATACTGAATCAGGAGCCACTCATGTCTCCACACAAGACAAAGGAACCGCTGGTTCGTAAAGACCCTGAGTACTTAACTACCTATCAGCTCACTAAGAAAAGCGTCCCATTGAGCTTAACAAAGAACAAAAAAACGCATCACCATTAGATGGGTAAAAAAAATTCAATATACCTCAATCATCTTAGTATCTACATTTGATACGTATTTTTGCTTGACGGGTTGTAACTGATCGATATGTTCAGGCCATCAAGAAGTTCACGAGTTGAGATACAGTATTGGTTTTGGACCCGAAGCTAGACCGGAATCCAGCCAACAACTTAGTACTAGAGAAGGTGTTGGAGATGGCATTTCAATGTCTAGCTCCTCATAGAGGTTCCAGACCAAGCAAGAAAAAATGCAGTGAGATTTTTTACATTGTAACTGATCTTGATGGAAATTTCATCGTCCACATCGGTAGTAGCGGAGAAGAAGGTTTCCGTGATAGTTCCTTTGAAGATTCTGCATTCAATCGTCCTCAGGTATATATGATAGTCTCATTTTGTAGTAGTTGTTTCTCAATAGGTTCCAAACCACGGCTTTATTGTTCTATATACATTTTTTGCAGGGATTTGCTTATAATGCATGGAAGAATCTTCATTATGTTGCTGACACCGAGAATCATGCTTTGAGGTATGTAGGTCCTTTTGTTGATTATAAAACAAACAAGAATATCAATTTTTGAGTGTAGAGATCTTAATTTGGAGTTCTTCTTAGGGAAATTTATTTTGTCAACGAAAGAGTAGAGATCATTTTCATGGCTTGTAACTTTTGTTGGCTTCCTTTTAATGGTTTATTCTCCATTGTTACAGCCCTCAAACGACATCATTTTCTCAGCCTTCAGGAATCTCATTAGGCCCTGGTAATGACAATAAACTTCAAAGGTGTCACTTTGAACTGTTGCAAAGGTTAGCAAGGGATGAAAATTATTGCAGATTTGAAGAAAGCATATATGATGCCAAAAAAAAAAAAAGCATATATTGCTGTTAGCGAGAGTTCTATTCGTGCCCTTGATCTTCAAACTGGTGGATCAAGATTTCTCGCTGGTGGTGATCCTTATCTCTTGAGAATCTTTTCAAGGTAAATACTTGATTCTTTTTAACCTAATATCCATAGAATTGTTACTGAATCTACAACTTTAAATGTTACATTAGTCTCTAACATAAAACTTGATCAGTTTGGAGATAATGACTGTGCTGAGTTCTAATGGATAAAATAATTATGGGTTGATATATTATTTGCTTAAAAACAGTGTATAGTGAAATTTCATTTGGTACAATGCATAGATGATGATACGATGAAACTAGATAGCCACTTTGATGGAACAATGAGGAAAGAAGTTGGCGTTACAATATCTTAATGAATTGGGTTTTAAAAGTGTTTTGTGGAAAGTGTCTGCGATCAATTGGAAGAAGTTTAAAGATTTCAGGCTTCAAACTGAAAATTCAAAGCATCTATTGACCAATGAAAAGCATGGGTGAAAACTAAAGAAAAAGGAGTGACAAACACTATCCCTATAATATATAAATGTAAAAATTAATGGAAACTTGAATCTAATACATATTGGTTAACAACTTTATTAGATGTTTAAAATTAATAAAAATTAATATTTTTCTCATAATAGGTAGCACATTTTTACTTTAACAAGACAATAAAAATCGCCAATTACTTCAAAAACATAAAAAGATTAGAGCATGAGGTTCAATACATGTGATAGAGAAACACCACTCATCTACACCTTATCTCAGAAGATAGCAGTCGCAGAAACACATCTAATAACAACTTTTGACATTACACACTTTTTTTTATCCTTCTTTCTGACCAAACATATTGTGTTTATTCTAAACTCAAGTGCTTGAAATTTTCGCAAATCTAAGAAAATTAATTTACTACAAAAATGAGAAAATCTATATGCAACATTCAAACAGAAAAGCTACCATGTCTCCAACTCATATACTCTGTTCTATATATTACATAGTTTATATACATATGATACTTCTGTAATATTTTATACTCACACAACACTACTAATTATAATATTCAAAAACTAATTCGTGGAAATACTTAATATAACTTGAGCTTGGCAAAAATATTTAGTCAACAAATAATGGTTTAGTGAGAATAAGTAATATAATCAAAAATATAACTTCAGATTTAATAGCAAAAAAAAAATATTAAAAAGAGAAAATACATTTACAACAGCATTTCCACATTTCATCAAATTCATGTCAACAAAAAAAAAAAAACTCACCTAAATTTTTTCTCATTTTTGTGTCTAATATTTATTGAAGTTAAATAAAAAATGAATTAAGATTAACAGAAATAGAATAGTCCAATTGCTACAATAGAAATTAATTAAGGAAAGAGAATCTTTTAATTTTAATATTTTTTGAAATTTTAATATTTTTTAAAATTTTTATATTTTTTGAAATTTTTGAAATTTTTGAATTTTTTTGCAATTTTATTAGATTTTTTATGTATTTTATTATTTTTTATTAATCTTTATTATTTTTATTAATCTTTTACCTGTAAAATGAACAGTACCAATCACATATGAACACAACATTATAATCATTTATAAAAGTGATAAACAGTCAAGCATATATAATTTTAACTCTATAAACTAATACTCGATGAATTAATAAACACGACAAAGAAATAAATTTATTTTAAAGTAGCCCAATGGAAAATAAGACATAGTTTGATAAGATGTTTTAATATTTTAAAAAACTCTTAGTTAAATATATGACCATATTAAATCATAATTTCATAGTTATCAGATATATAAATTTCATATAAACATAAAAAAAAAAACATAGCAATGGTTCGAAAATGTCTATAATTACTATTTATATGAAATTGTTAAACATATGAATTTCATATAAACATAAAATGAAACATGAATTTATTTTATTTAAAAATAAATTGTATTTTGATTTAGAATAAAACACACGAAGAGTGGAAAATCTAAATAGAAACTCCAGTAAGCAAAAACTAAATTATCTGTTACATTCTACATCTTTCTGTTTTTGATTACATATTTTGTTAAACAATTTAAGTTATAATTAAAAAAATAATAATTTTTTTTATAAGATGTATTCTGCGCATAGCGCGGACAAATGATCTAGTATCATTAATGGCGTAAACCACTCCTCTCACGGTGGATAGAATTCATAAACCTTAATACTATAAGCCAATTACTTCTATTTATATTGGAAAGAAATCCTAATATAAAGTAAACCATTTTTTTCCTTTTATATATATTTTATGTAGTAATTATTTTTAATAAGAAAAATAATGTTTTTATTAAGTTAATTTTTCAAATAATATTAAAGAAGAAAACAATGGCGTAGATTACATAAAACAAAAGGAAAAAAGTTTCTCAGCTACACGAAGTTTACACTAATATGGTGGAAACCATGCAATGTATAAAAATGTGTGAAGAACTACACGAAGTATATGTTAATACATGCCACATGTACGAAGTAAATGATATTATGGTGGCGCAACATCACAATCGGATTTAATTGTTCTTAAGCTAAGTTAATGGGGTCAATCCGTAATTTATGAAACTTAATAAACTTAATTGATTTTAATTATTAAAGTTAATAAAACTAATAAGCTTAATAAACATAATATTTTTTAAAACTTAATAAAATTAATAAACTTAATAAACTTAATATTTTTTGTTAAACTTAATAAATTTATTAAACTTAATAAATTATTAAACTTCATAAACTTAATAAACTTAACAAACTTAATAACTTATAAACTTAATAAGTTATTAAACTTAATATACTTACCAAACTTAATAAACATAATAATTTAATGAATTTATTAACTTATTAAACTTAATAAATTTATTAAATTATTTTGTTTATTAGTTTAAGGATTCTAGCTTATTAAACATAATAATTTTTAAAAACTTAATAAACTTTATTAACTTAATAAGATTTATTAAACTTAATAAGATGTATTAAACTTAATAAACCATTAAGTTTATTAAGTTTGTTAAGTATATTAAGTTTAATAACTTATTAAGTTTATAAGTTATTAAGTTTGTTAAGTTTATTAAGTTTATGAAGTTTAATAATTTTATTAAGTTTAATAAATTTATTAAGTTTAATAAATTTATTAAGTTCAATAAATTTATTAAGTTTAACAAAAAATATTAAGTTATTAATTTTATTAAGTTTTTAAAAATATTATGTTTATTAAGCTTATTAATTTTATTAACTTTAATAGTTAAAATCATCTAAGTTTATTAAGTTTCATAAATTACGGATTGACCCCATTAACTTAGCTTAAAAACAATTAAATCCGATTGTGATGTTGCCACCATAATATCATTTACTTCGTATATGTGGCATGTATTAACATATACTTCGTGTAGTTCTTGACACATTTTTATATATTGGATGGTTTCCACCATATTAGTGTAAACTGCGTGTAGCTGAGAAACTTTTTTCCAAAACAAAACTACAGATAACGACAAAGAGTATTAAACGGTTCATCCTTATAGAAAACGACAGAAAGGAAAGTTTTTTAAGAGACAAAGAGTTTATATGGGAAAGAATAAAATATGATCGACGTTTTTTGCATATTTAAAATTAGGACAGAAGTGAAAAATTTGGACTGGTTCTTTTCTGGTTCTTTTAGTTGTCTTTCTTTACGTACTGAAGTCAACTCGCCGTAGGTAATTTAATATTCAAAACAAAGTAAAATATTCGTCCAAAAGAAAACGATTAAGCAAAAAGAGGAAAAGATTAAACAGGAAACAAATCATAGAGAAGGCAGTTGACGGGTTGCTCGGAATGGATATCTCCAATCACTCAGGGGTCTGCTTTCGTGTCTTCTTACCATCGGAAATCTTCGGAGGATCTTCTACCGCAAACTCCTCACCAACAGACGGCCCCGAAGACGATGCCCCCAATCTTACGTCACCTACGCTGCCTGGAAGAATGCTCCTTCCGTGTTCCTGAGATACATGACCGTTCACTTTATATAAAACTAGTGGTGTACC